CATAGAGATAAACCTTCCTTTCAGCAATAGCTAAGCTAGCACAACTTCTAACCCAGCTTCAAAGCTGAAGGACTTTGGGATCCCACCATAGCAGCGTGGGTGTTCTAGCAGCTAAAATTTGAGGGATGTTAAAGGGGACTTTGCAAAAACCATGCTACGTAACAGAGTCTGAGCAGCATACTCCTTTTTTAAGGAGGGTTAATGTTGCCTCACCTTCAATTTCTCGTACTTCTTGGAATAGGCTTCCATGGCTTCCTTGACCTGCTCTGGAAGCTCCAGCTTCTCCTCTTTCAGCGGTGGCCAGAACTCACTTGACAGGATAACGGCAACAAGGCTGAACGGTGGCCTCTCCTCCTCCGGGAGCTTTTCTTCCTCATCACGAATGTTGGCATTAATGCGCCGCGAGTCAGCCATATCCTGGAAAAGGCAGAAGGAGATAATGCAGCTCCTTCTCTTCCAAGTCAGTGCTAACCCTTGGTGAAGGAGAAGCTTTAAAAAGGTGACTAGCCTTGTATCCGAATGATGATGGGGACACTGGAAAGGACATGATCAAGTATGTCTACTAGAAAGTCTGCTACCCGCTCAGAAACACCTGTGGGGAGGTTGGGGAAGGGCTTACAGCTCAACACGAGTCTACATTGGAGTCCCTCCAGGCTTGTCTTCTTCCCACAGTGCTCCAAGTGCATTAAACTGCAGAGCCCCAACCCTAGAGGAGCTGGAAGAGCCCAACTCTTCAAGAGCCAGCACAGTGTGCTGCAGGAAGGGCAGGAGAGACAACAGCACCAGAGCAACCATCCCCCAGAGTCAATTACCCAACCCACAGGGCTTAAAGAACAGACGTGGTTCTGAATGCTCTTCTGCCTGTCGCAAATCAGCTCCCTCGCTGGGATTCTGGGAACCCCACTTTCCTAAAAGACTCTTTTTGGGTCACTCCTCAAGCGCCTTTTTCCAGTGAGCTCAAACATTCAGGATTTGAATTAAAAAACAAACCAAAAAAAGTTACTTTTAACATGACTTCACAATAGTGCATCTGAGCTTCACCAAACCGCAGCTTCAGCAGCTCCACGTTGCGGATTTCCCTGACAAGAGAAACAACGATCAGACAGGGGTCCCTCAGACTCGCTTGGCTTGGTCTCCACCCCTTGCAGCACAGTCAAAAAAGGCAGTCCCTGGCACAAGGGTGCTCTTCCTAGGAAGCTGTTATCTGAACAGGATGCCTCTTAGCATCCACGGGAGGAACAGGAGCTTCCTCTGTAGGCCAGCAGCTTTTTGAAGACCTTCCCATCCCTTCCATTTGGACGAGCCACCCCCCTCGACCACACAGTACAACCTCAGCATTTGGTGAGCCACTCGCATGAGACTGCTCATCCTAGATGTGGCTGGCACTAGCAGCATCTCACAGAAGGGAAAAGCACTGCAACTGCTGAATCAAGAGACATAGTTGTGTTGCAACTGAGGTTTCCCGATGCTTCATCCCTTTTTCTTACTTTGACACTTTCTGCTGACCCCAAGCAGTCTGTGCAGGTTGTGAGGGCCAGCAGAACACGTGGGATGGAGCTAAGAAGGTGTTGGTGCCTCCAGTTTCCTATGTGCTGCCCTATTAGTGCAAACCAAGGGCAGGACAGAGCAGGCAGGAGCCTAAGAGTTCAGTGAATGATATTCTAGATGCAAACCCAAAGCTGCAGAGGAAATGGCCAAAGACATTCCCAGCTTCAGAAAGAGCTGTTCATAGGATTAAGTCTGAAGCACACCTTTATCAGGTGATTTTACCTGGAAAGCCCTGGGGTTGGGCGCTTGAACCTCACCTCTCAGCACTGTAGTTGAACTGATGCAGCAGCCGGTCAGCCAGAAGCGTGCGGTATTCATTGATAAAGAGGTCCTTGCTGCCATAGATGCTCACCAGCAGGCTGATGATGTCCGAGGACCGACGCTTGGAACTTGATTTCCCTAGTGAAATCCAGCAGATGACAGTGTGAGATTAACAGAGACCTGTCCCAGCCCAGCTCTAGAGGACTGGCAAATGAGCTGCTCAAGACTCAGGGAAAGGGAAAACAGCGAGCTGACAGGACTTCAGGTCCTGGCATCTAACCTGGATCTGCATCAACCGGGTCAGGAACCCAGTCCTCTGGTTCTGCAATGTCATCGTCGCTCTCCTGGCCGTTCTCCAGGGTCACTGGGTCAGCTTTTGAGAGCTCGTTTGCAAGATCACCAGAGCCCTCAGCATCCCCTGTGAGACCGGCCACGATCTGCCGCACCGTGTCCTCCCGAGTCCTGCCAACAGGCAAGAGAAACAGGGGCAGTGAAGGGAAGGGGAGGGAAAGGGGATGTGTAGGACTGCTCCACACACCTCTTACCTCAGATACTTCCTGATGGGTTCGCAGGCGACCTCCAGGATAACCATGGAGGGATCAAGCTCCCGTAAGGCCTTGATGGCCGAGATATAGAGAGTGATGATGTCGGATGTGTTGACTCCTACGAGAGGGGCAGAGGGAGTCAGAGTCCCAGAGCACAGACTAACGGCTTGGATGCACGGAGCCTGGATGCTCCAAGCCCTCTGTTTAATCAAGGACTTGCTGTCCCACTGCCCCAGCCAAAGAGATTGGATCTGTATGTCTGAGACACCCATTCCAACCACAAACACAGGTTCACAGACCACTATAAACCAGCTGAGTCCCAGCTCTGCATTAGGAGCTCAGACCACACACATCAGAGAAGCCTGTACCTACCTGGACCAAAGCTAACCTTCTAGCTCAGCTCCCCACCATACAGGAAAGATGAGGCAAGAAGGGGCTGGGATATAACCAGCTCCTGCTGCCTGTGCACACTCCAACACAGAGAGAGAGGACGTGATGTGCACAGCCTGACCGCCTCTCACTCATCAAACACAAATCAGATGATGGCTCCCAGCAGATCCCCACTCATGCCCAGGCTCCTTACAGAGTTGTGACAAAAGCAGGGATGTAAAACCTACCAGGGTGCAGAAGTCGCATTTCCAGTGCACTTTTCAGGGAGCTGAGCAGCTGCTGCCTCTGATTAGTCCTTTCCAGGCAGAACTTGAGGTCCTCCACAGCAGGCTTTGACTCTGGGAAATCTACAAACCAAGCAGTGATTAGGAACAGTGCCATGCGCCATGGGAAGCCAAGATAAAGATAAAGAAGGAGATCAAGGCCAACAGCATCCTGGTTTGTATTAGAAACAGTGTGACCAGCAGGAGTAGGGAAGTGATTGTGCCCCCGTACTTGGTACTGGTGAGGCTGCACCTCGAGTACTGTGTTCAGTTTTGGGCCCCTCACTACAAGAGGGACATTGAGGGGCTGGAGCGTGTACAGAGAAGGGCAATGGAGGTGGTGAAGGGTCTGGAGAGCAAGAATTATGAGGAGTAGATGAGCGAACTGGGGTTGCTTAGTCTGGAGAAGAGGAGGCTGAGGGAAGACCTTATCACTCTCTACAACAACCAGAAAGGAGGTTGTAGAGAGGTGGGTGTTGGTCTCTTCTTCCATGTAACTAGTGCTAGGACAAGAGGAAATGACTTTAATCTGTGACAGGGGAGGGTTAGATTGGATATTAGGAAAAATTTCTCTACTGAAAGAGTGGTCAAGCACTGGAAAAGGCTGCCCAGGGAGGTGGTGGAGTCCCCATCCCTGGAGGGGTTCAAGAAGCGCGTGGATGTGGCACTTCAGGACGTGGTTTAGTGGGCATGGTGGTGTTAGGTTGATGGTTGGACTTGTTTACTTTAGAGGTCTCTTCCAACCTTAGTGATTCTGTGAAAGACAGACCAGTCTGTCATCCAATCCAACCCCAAGAGCTGAACACCAAACGGGTCACACCTACCTCGAATAATGCTGAAGAGCTCTTCAATGCGCATGCTGGCGTAGATGCGGTAGAAGAACCTTTGGACGTGGCACCGCCAGCGCTTCAGGGTGCTGCTGGCTTCTGGAGAGGAGCGCGCCAAGGGACCATCTTGCAGGAAAACCCTGCTGAGCCAGTCGATCACTTTCTCAATCCACTGCACAAGGAGAGGGAGAGCAGAGAGACGGTGAACGTCAGAGCTGGATGCACAACCACATCCATCACCAGGCAGCTACCACAGCAAGCAGAAATGGGCAGCTCACAAGGGACAGCATCACCTCCAGCTGCTCTCCAAATGCACCCTGGCCTGGGTTACAGTCGGGGAAAGCCCAGCTGAGAGAATACGAACTGCAACTGAAGACACAGGAGACAGACTGTGCAGATGTATCAGAAGACAAGGGGTGGGTGAGGGCTGTGCATAGGTACTGGGGTCCAAAAGGAAAAGGTATATTAAAAAACACACAGACTACTCCACTCTTGCAGGAATCCATTCCACTCTGTACCTGCAGAACTATTCTCTTCATAAGAATATGAGCAAACTGCCCATCACACCATTCCTGGTCCAGATTTTCTGATTCCCAAAATCAGGGAAGAGCCAGCAAGTCACCCAAGGACTCTGAGCAACCAAACTCAGGCACTTGAGACCAAAACCTCAAATATCAGCCTAATGATAAAATCCTACATGATCAGAGAGCATCAGATGGTTAATTTTTGACATCTGAGATCTAGTTTTCTACTGAGAAACGTGCAATTGCCGAATTTCAAATGTACCCAACTACAACACCCAGATATTTAAAAGAAATGCTTTTTAAAATTCTTGTTTTTCCTTTAAGGTGGCAAAAGTGTAGCGCTTCCTGGGACGGTATTTGAGTATTAATAGCTGGTAAATATGAATCTTTTTGGGTAACCCAATTTGGACAGCCTGAAGCAAAAATGCTACGTCCAGATCTGGTCTGGTGATGTTAACACTTAACTATCGACCAGACTGAGGAGACACTGAAGAAATGCAGGAGTTCTGCTAATTGCAAGGCAGGATGAGCCTGAGAACTGCAGAGCACCTGGGCATGGATCTGGGCAAAACTGTGGAAAAGCTGATAAAGAATCCTCCTAAAGGACAAAAGGAAAGGACCAGAATTAATGCAAAGCAACTCTGTTTTAAGGAACATAATAATTATCAAATCAACCCCTTTTTCCCATGAGTTTATCTCTGTGTGCTCCTGTTACAGCCTGATTATCACCTGCTGCTGTGTCTGAAAAGGGGAGCTGCTGTCAACTCTTGTACTTTTATCAAGCTGTTTCTCAGACTTCTCCTACTTTACCTTTTGCTTGCCAGGCTTGTGGTTTTTTTCTTAAAACACCCCAATTCTGACATGCTCCCATATTCTGTGGCCAAACACGCTGGCCTTTCTGCAGAGGTGGGAGCAAAGGGACCCTCTGCAATGTCTGGCGAGTGGAACGCAGTTGCATTTTCCCTGGTGCCCTTAAAATGTCCTTAAACCATCTCCAGGTCATCCAGAAGCATTTCAGGCTAGGTCCAATAAAGAAAGTGTTGCATAGCAACTAAAGGGAAGTAAATATAAAACAAGCGATGTCTGCAGACAACAAAACCAGCCGGCATGGCAAACAGCACGGAAACTCGGGCAACCACAGCGAGCAGCGTGGTTCGCATGGCAACCTCCACAACGCGGGCACAGGCAAGGTCATGCATGGAGGAACAAAGCACGGGGCAAGGCTGCAGAGCCAGGACTGCACCCTGGAAGAGCCATAACCCGGAGAAGACTTTGATTGCGAGGTCACGCTGCGTAAACAGCCCAACACAAACTCAGTTTGAGGTAGCAGCGAAACAACTGGGTAGTTGCAAGGAAGGATTTTCATTCTGTGTGCAGCCCACTGGTGAGATCAACACCTGAGTATTATTTTCTGTCCTCGCTCCCTGATTTAAAGGGGTGCTGAAAAATTGGATAAAGGACAGAAAACAGCCACACAAATACTAATTATGGGCCCACCTACGCAGAAGGAGCATCCTCCACAGGCTTTAGGTGGCTCTGCATCTTCTTGGAGTTTGTAAAACAGAACTAAAGAAATCCCCTGATTACTACGGACATCACCAGGTGAAATACAACAGCCCATCATGCACAGGTCAGAGCAAACCTTCCCCTCGAGCATAAATCAAAGAGGGGAGGTTTTTCGTGTAACCAGTGGAGCAGCCACACGTCCCCAAAGGAAGGGCCCTCACTGCCCACGCCTGCCTCACCTCCTGGAACTCGTTCAGGAAGGAGTGCTCGTACTCCCCCCGGCAGCGCTGCTCCATCCTCTCCTCTATCATGCGGTGCAAGATGGTCGTGACGGCATCGGCGCTCACCCTCTCCAGCAAATTCAGCCGGCGGCTGCAGACACAAACAGGGACCCGATTCAACAAAGGCACAAAGGAATAAAGAAAATCTAACCACCTGAAGGAACCTTCCTCCCTCTATGCTCCACAGGTGCAGGCCTAGCTCTTAGTTTAAATGCTCTGATAGCCCCAATACCTATACAGCACATGACGTTACTGCTGTCCCACCTGTTATTTTCCATTATTTTCTAGCCATCAAAAGCTTTTTCATTCAGAAGACTTTGCTGCTTTGTGCACAGAAGGCCTCAGAGCAAGAGGAAGATATTCTCACCTCCAGGGAGAGGATCCTTCTGCCTAAAGATCTGCTCTGGTTCAACCACCAGTTGGTAACCAGCTGAAAAACCTCATGTCAAGTTCTCTACCCAGTACCATGATACAACCCAACTTCAGACATAACTTGTCCTGTTTTCAGATATCAAGAAAACCTCTTGCTGCTCCAAACCATCTGGTTGTTCTGAGCGACAGCCACCACCCCGTCACCTACGTACAGGATGTCATTGAGCTGCTGAAACTGCTCCATAGCTTTGGGGCACCAGCACTGCTCTCTCTTGCTGCTGCAGCCCGCGCACAGCGGGCTCTCTCCTCCGCCGTCCTCCGTGTCACTCTCCTGCTCGGTCTCGCTCATGCTGCTCTCGCACTCGTTCATTCCATCCTCTCCTTTCTTCCACTGCCGCATGTATATCCTGAAAGTGCGGCTGTAGAACTGCTGGATCATCTCCTGGAAGGACTTGGTAGTGGAGAAGAAGAGGATAGCTTTGAACATGGTGTAGACCTTCTCCTGCAGCATCTGAGCGCCTGTCCCCAGCAGCAAGCCCGCCTTGGTCCACCTCTCCAGAAGCTCCAGGCTGTTCAGGTAGGGGTCCAGGCGGCACTTGAGAAGACAAAACGCGTCCAGAAGGAGCGCGAAGCACTGGGGCTCCTCAGCCGTGTTTTCATACTGCCCGATGCAGTTCCAGAACTCGGGAGCTATATTTGCCTGCAGGTCGGTCTGCAGCACCTCGATGAACCACTCCTCCACGATCGAGTGCAGGTCGTAACACCGCAGCACGTTCAGGGCTGCCCGCAGCTCGGCATCGTTCAGCGGCCCCACAGCATCCGACCTCGGTGCTGCCTGAAGAGCAGAGGGGATACCAAGTGAAGCACACATAAAGCCTTCTCTAGGAGGAGCTGCAGCAGAAGAGCAGCTCATCCCAAAGAGCAGCATCCAACTGCACATGGACTCTGCTGTCAGAGAGCACCAGGTGGATGCTGTTCCTCCATGGAGACTTGCTGGGGTCTCAGCCCGCTGCTGGAAGCCAAGTGCCACCTCCAGACCTAACGCCCAAACACTGACTGCTGCCATCCCTGTTGGTGGCTGCTGCAGGACACAAGCATCATAAACCACCCCCAGGCTCCAGGGCAAATCCTCCCTTGGCGGAGATCAGCCTCCTGGAGGAGCGAGCAGGGAGCAGAGCCGCAGTGGCACGGGGAAGCAGCACCTCTGTGGGCCATGTCTGCCTTCCTGGTGTGATGGGGGAAGAGGGGGACAACTGGAGACCCCCGGCCTTTCCCTGAC